TAGGTTAACCAAAGTAATCACCAAGACATTCTACGCAGCCAATCTTGCGTTGGCTTTCTCTTGTCGACCAGCGATGTCTATGCAAACGAAGGATAAGTTACCTGAGTTGGCCTCTTCCATGTGCATTTATAATTTCAGCTGTTCCTGTGGGGATAGCTATATCGGGCGTACTACCAGGCAACTTAACCAACGAATGAGTGAACATCTACCAGCGTGGTTTATAAAGGGCCAGAGAAAAATAATTCGTAGTTCTATATTGGCACATCTTATTAATAGCGGTCATGCTGTAGATAAATCGAAATCATTTCGAGTGATCTTTCGTATACCTCCATCATTTCCCAACGGAGTTCGTTCCCGCCTCCTACATATAGCTGAAGCCATTGGAATTCGTACATATAACCCCAATTGATGTGTACAGAAGAAATACGTGACCCCCCATCCCTCCCATGGCCAGTTATAACTTAACTAACAATTTTTTTTTAAAAAATTTTATGATTATCATTATTTATTTTATTCTATTTGTGTTATCGTTAACCTTATTTCCACATCCATTTTTGGTTTGTAATTATCCGCCTCTTTGTATTCTTCACTATCGAATTATTATTTGACCTGTACTATCAATGATTAAGAAACAATTTTTCAACCTTCAACTTGTACTTTTATTTTTCCTTCATAATAAAAACATTTAACTACTAATAGTTCAATTTTACACATATCAACAAACAAACAAACAAACAAAGAAACAAACATACATACACACATACATACAAACAGACACACACACACACACGATTCATTCAGTCGTTTATTTTCACACTGTGAACTTTTCACATGAATCGCGTTTAACTAACTGATGATTGAATAAACATAGTAACTTAATAACAGATTGATCAATTGCAGTCTTAAAACCTCAATGGAAAGATACAAGTCAAACAATACCAAATGAATTTAAACGTAGTAAAGATTTGATTTCATGGCAAGACTCTAATTTATGAACGAGTCAATCATATGCATTTTAGAGATTTCAAGGTTACCGCACCAACTTCAGTGCTTAATACTAACGTACGATCGGTTCACAGGGAATTTTGTACAAAACGTGATCATTGAGCGGCTATAGCAGATAAAACGGCAAGACTTTAATTTGTGGACGAATCAATCAGGTATAAGATAATAGATCTCAAATTTTCGCACGAAAGCCTTTCATTCATTTAGCTAACTACATTTCTGGCATTATAACAGATGTCAGTTCGTGATGAAAACTCCTAACCAAGGCAAATTACGACAATTATTACGAACTGGATAATAAAAGCACCAGTAAAACTGGCTGCATCCAGGTACTACAATATACACGGATGACTGGAGAGCGTACACACTCATACATAGGCTTGGTTATGTGCATCGTGTCGTTATCCACAAGTAGCATTTTGTGCACTCAACAACCGGAGTGCACATAAACAATATTGAAGCTATGTGGTCGAGGCTGAAAGAGTATTTGAGACTTTATCATGACTCCAGAGGCCGACTATTCTGTAGCCGTATGGATGATTTCCTCTACTGGATGCATTACGATTTTAGAACCTCTGAACCTCTTTCTAACTTTGACAAGTTTTTGAACCACGTATAAGAAGTGTATCCACTTGATTTCTTTGTTTTTTTATAATATATTTTTAATCTATACTGACTGTTTGCTGATTGTCTAACATTTCTCAAGGTCACTTAAGATTCATTCAAAGCTCGTCCATAAATTAGAGTCTCGCCGATTTCATTTGTTTGTTATACGCTACATATTTCTTTGACAAGTTTTCTGGACGAACATTTGGCGTTTTTTAGCGAGTTAGTTTTCTACGGGATGGGGTCGTTAGTCCTATGCTCAACCCTCCTGTATTGTCCGGGCTTGAAACGGTCACTAGTTTAGCAGGGGCTCAAGGCGGAGTTTTGGATGAAACGTTGGAGTTATTGAAATTTCAATCACTGAGATTATATATCTATATATATATATATAAACACATAAACACTAGTAGGAGGCACCAAATAGATATGTGCCACGTAAATCAATCGATTTATGTGAGGGCTGGGATAATGTCCAGGTGCCCAAACAGAAGCAGGTGGTTTTAGATCTAAAGGTCTGATCTACAAGTCAGTGGAGCAACTTCAGGAGCTGCAGTCCCATGGTAGTCGGTGACCACCAACAGGTTCATGGAGCCCATGTGCATCACTGGTTTGGAATCAGGATTTTCCAACTCCCCTATATGAACCCTCTGTGTTCATCAACCCAGTTAAATCTTCTGCTGGACATTCGATTTTCATCCTCTCAATTTTGTAAATAACACCCATGGTGCGAGAAGGCAGTGAGTAGGACTACCCTGACAGTGGTTGTATACACGTGTTCATGTGAGAGCATTTGGAGAAGGTGAGCTGACTTTTCTCACCCTCCGTCGTACCACGGCATTTGCGGACTATAATTTACGAACAAACCAATCAGGTATAAGATAATAGATATCGGATTTCTGAGCGAAATTCAATCATCCATTTGGTTAAATAACGTTTTGTCATTATATATAATAATAATTAGTGATAGAAATCCTATATCTAATACCTAACGTTAACCATCAACTATAAATCATAATCTTTGTATTTCACAAATGATTTATAACCCTCATTTAGCTCTATTAAGTTGGTGGACATTCTTAAGGTTACTTTAAAGTTACTCGAAGGTCGTCCATAAATTATAGTCTTACCACTAAATTAATGATTCAAATTAATCTCATACATATAATAACTTTGATATGGATATATATGAAAAAATCTTAATTCAGTCAAGAGATTTTATGAATTAGTGATCGCAGTCAAATGAAATAGATTATCAATAACAATAAATCAGAGCTATTGTAGCGGTAAATAAATCTCCAAAATCAATAACTCCGTTTGTAAGCCTTCGATATTGGATGTTGACCACATTCGTTTTAATGGACTCATCTAGCTGAAAGCGTTCGGTCATGAATCTACACTAGAGCATATGTGGGAACGCCGTGCTCAACTTCTCCTGCAATCGCTAACCAGTTTAGATCAGTCGATTCTCGATCAATTGATAGAGTACCCTTGCCGTTTCCCATGGCGATTCGATTTCGTCTCCAACATTTACAAAAGTTAAAACTCTCCAAGCTTACAATAATACTTAGTATTTTTTTAAAAGGAATTTGTACCATCCCTAATTACTTCACCAGATAGTTAATCATCTATGTTCCACTCAACTAGCATATAAGTTTTAATATCAGAATAGGTGTTGTGGAGATTTTTTAGAAATTTCACAGGCTGAAATCATGAGTCATTTGAAGCTAAACCACCATGGAAAACCTGGAAGCACTGGACGGCCGTTCCGTCCTAGTATAGGACTCCTCAGCAGTGCGTATCCACGACACGCCCCCCGTGAGATTCGAACCCAGGACCAATCAGTCTCGCACCAGGCGCTTAGCCATTAGACCACTGAGCCTGCATCCAGCGGTGTTAATGTCTAGATTCAAATGACTCATGATTTCAGCCTGTGAAATTTCTAAAAAATCTCCACAAAACCCATTCTGATAAAATTGGTTTTATCGATAAAACTGCTGAAATAAATAATCCATAATTCGCTTTGTCTACTGAACTGCTGAGTTCAGATAGCTAATAAATTATACAATGAGTATGAAAAAATTAGAGCAAATGAGTGGTTTACCCTTGTTGATATTGAAAAGTCACTGAATAATTCTATTCTTGAATATTGACACTAAGAGAGTCATGATTCCTCACTAATTACTTTATACTAATTAAATATGTTGGTGACTATCTAGACTCAATAGGTCAATAGACATGTGGTGTATGCTACTTATGTTGACAGGTGAAATGCCTACCAGCAGAAGATTGAAATGAAGAGAACAAGAAAGAAATCGGAAACGAATAAAACTAACAACTGAATCAGAAGATATTATTATATTATAATAACAAACTATAGTGCAGACATTGTATGTGAAAAGTAGATTTGAAATAATCTCAGCGATTGAAATTTAAAGTAATTCCGTTTCATCCAGCTAACTTGTCTGAACTTCCTCAGTTTGTTTAACTAGTGGATTTTCTTATCCAATCCAAAATAAAAACAAACAAACAGAGAACTGCAACGGACCCTCCAGAGGCCCTAGAGAAGCCGAAGAGTCCTAGCCAATCAGAGCATGGTGGAGCTTTCTAGAATGTCAACTATTAGTCAGTAGCATAATATTTCTTTTGCCGGATTGGCTAAAATATGATGTTGATTTAACAAATGTGAACTTCTACAAATACCCGTGTTTTTCTGTACAAAATAACGGAACCTTAGAGTAAAGTATTTTCTCGCGTACTCTGCGTCTTCTCTCTTGTGTTCAGGGCGCTGCACAGTTCTAGCTTGGGAATCACAGAATAGCTTAGGAAACAAATAGCGTTCAATTCGCAAGACTTATCAATGGCGACGGGGACTTATCACAAACATACAAACAACCGAAACCAAGTTTTATAATTTTTATAGGTTGATATTAATTACACAATGGTTATGATTGCCCACTACCCATTTGATGAAAAATTAAAATAAACCGCCGTAACTTTAACGATATTCCTCTTCCAAAATGTCAAATTATTTGCTTTGTCTTTTACAGTATCAAACTTATTACAGATAGTTGTCAGTAATCATATAGAACTTTTTAAAAAAAGAAAAGAGCCCCCCTCAAAAGTTAAAAAAAGAAAACCCTTCCCCCCTCAGAAAATTTTTTAATCCATTTTTTGAACAATTTACAATATTCTTCACAATATCTGTTTATTTTTTCAATGTATTACAAATAGTTATATTAGTATTTACATAGATGTGCATATAGATGCATGTACATCGGTAAATCATTTATTTCAGTATAAAAAATATTTTTAAAAAAAAGTAAAAAGAAAGACCCCCCCAAAAAAAAAATTAAAAAAAAGAAAACAAACTCCCCACCCCAAATTATTTATTCAGTTTCTGAGCGATCTACAGTTCTCTTTACAATATCTAATTATTTTTCAATGTATTACAAATAGTTATATTAATATTCATATAAGACTTTATATAGATATATATACATCATTAAATCACTTAGTTCAGCGTAAAAAAAACAGCAAAAAAATGTTAAAAAAAAGATAAAAACGCCCCCTTCAAAATTCTTTTTTTTAAAAAAAGAAAAGAAAACCCCTCCCCCCCCTCCGAAAAATGTTTCATTCCATTTCTGAGTAATCTACAATTCTATTTACAATATCTATTTGTTCTTCAATGTATCACAAATACTATTATTAGTATCTATATAGATCTGTATATAAATGTTTATACATCATTAAATCAGTTATTTCACTGTAAAAAAAAACAAAAAAAAGAAAGAAAACCCCCCCTGTTATGACTTTATGTCCGGCTTTTTATCACGTGATTTATCCACTAATCAAAATACGACTTTTACAATCGTAGCACTATGCCAAAATGAATGACGTTCGACCGGTATGAGCAGTCTAGCGTCCTTATTGATCCTATGTGTCCGACTAACCCGTCCATTTGAGTTCAGAACACCAAATACAAGGTTCCAATATGCGAATCGAATCGAATCACTTATTTCAGACATATCAATCAAAAAAGATCGCAACGCATCATAAAATAGGAAATCACATTTGTACACAATAGAGCCAAAAAGTGGCTGTGAACTTGAGAGACTGTAATCATCAATAAACTGAGCATAGCTTAAGAACCGTAAATCGTACAATAATAAATTATAGATCAAAATAAAGCTTATAACAAGGGGAATATAAATATTTATAATCTAATTATTGAATAATTATACCATAAGAATGTATAGATAATATTACTCAATTAACAGGTCTCAGCAGAAGTTACTCATGATTTAATCTTCGCTAGGATAGAACACCGCCAAAAGTAGTTTCTCAAAACAAAACAAAACAAAACAACTAACAAAGAAACGAAACCCTCCGCCCGCCGCCCGTTCCTCAAAGAAGATCATCTACTCTTTGTTTTCTGTTTTGTTTTTTCATTTATTTTCATACAATTTTCTTTCCATTTCTTATAAGTTTGTAATATGATTGTTTGAAAATCATCAATCGGTATATAAGTTGATTCTAATTGTTTATTATCATTTATTGATAAACCATAATAAGCATAATAATCAATATGACGTAATTTAGTAAATTTAATAAAATGTTGATTATTAATACAACAATAATTAGGGAATAATTCAATTAACATTGATGTATTTGATAATAATAAACTATAAGTTAAACCAGCACCATGCATACCAATTAATATATCTGTATTAATAATTAAATTTAATTGTTCATTGATAGTTAAATTAATAAAATCAATAATTAATGAATTTGTAAAACCTAATTGTTTTAATTGATTTAATAATTGTAATTCATTATTGATTTTTCTACTAATATGTCCATTTATATTACGTGGATGTGCAATATAATTACGTCGACTAATAATAATAATTTTTGGTAATTTATAATTAGTTACTATGTGTTTATCACATAAATTATCATTTATATTGTAATGATAACTTTGAAGAAGAAATTGACGAAATTCCTCAATATACATATTAGATAAAAGGGGTTTATCTACATATAATGGACTTGAATAACCATATGGTATTATAACAAGTTTATGTATATGTAATAGATGATTCTTATTCATAGGTAATATTCGTAGTAAATTTGTATTATTCTGATGAATATAATTTGTAATTTGTCTATAGGCACCAATTCTTGATATAGAATAATTAAATAATTGATACCATACTTCATCTAAATTACCTATAGGATGTCCATCAGTTATTAATAAATGTATATTATTAATGGATAAATTAAGTAATTTCATTGTTAAATAAGTATTATACCAATCAGTCATTGTATGATATAAATTAGCATATTCTACACGTGTAATTAAAAAGACAATTTTTTCCTAATGAAAAGAAAAGAGAGAAAAACAAACAACAATAATTAAGAATTCATTAGTTTTATAGTGGAGTTTATGAGTTCAATTGAAGTTAGATTATTATGAAAAAAACAGAACGATCCATAGTCTGATGTGTCTAAGAACCACACCACCACCACCATCTCAGAAGCTTCCAAAGTACGAGGTTGGATGCCCAGTGTTTACTCGAGACTACAGAGGAAATCATGGTCTTTGGATGGAAGCACGTGTGGTTGGAAGACTAGGTCAAGTTATGTACGAGGTAAAAGTGGGAAGAGACACGTGGACTAGACAACGAAATCAACTACGGAAGCGGACAGCCCTGGACCGCTCATCAAAAGGAGTAAATCTTCACCTCGACATCTTGCTTGATACCTTCAACTTACCTGCAGCCCCACCACAAGAAGCTCAACAGCAAGCTGATCCCCGTCCTAGAAGGTGGCCTCTCCGTTAGTGGCGAACTACAGTCAAGATGCAAGTCAACCCCAGAAAAGTACGCTATTAAAAAGGGGAGGAGTGTTGGGGACGATATATCTCAAAAACTTATATTTGTAACTTTGTCATATCGATTAAATGATTAAATAGCACAGGTTGAAATCATGAGTCAGTTGAAGCTAGACCACCATTGAAAACCATTGAAATTAAGAGATCATTCAATTCGTAGTTACAGAAATAAACAAAATAAGTATATAATTCAAGAGATACTCCTGGAGTTCTAGTGAGAAGCCGTTACCATTGGAGTTCAACCGGTCTGTTGTGAGATAACAACTCACTGAAGACAATGGTGTACGGTGGCGCAACTTCGTGGATTGGTTGAAGTTAGACATTAACACTGTTGGATGCCGGCTCAGTGGTCTAGTGGTTAAGTGCTAGCGCGCGAAGCCAGTAGGTCCTGGGTTCGAGCCCCGCGTGGTGCGGGGTCGTGGATGTGCGCTGCTGAGGAGTCCCATATCAGGACGAAACGGCCGTCCAGTGCTTCCAGGTTTTCAATGGTGGTCTAGCTTCAACTGACTCATGATTTCAACCTGTGAAATTTCTAAAACTCTCCACAAAACCCATTCTGATTAAATAGCAGTCAATTGATGAACTCAATGATTAATGTTTTAGTGTTGATAATTAGGAATTCAGTAATTTCATAGTTGAGTTCATGAGTTCAGTTGAAGTGAGATCATTATGGAAAAACAGGAATCGTGAGTTCTGTGAGTCCCACAATGGGACGAAGTGGCTATTCAGTGTTTCCGGGTTTTCAATGATGGTCTAACATTAGTAGATTCATGATCTCAATCAAAAACTTAATGATCTCTATAATCCTATACTGATAAATACCATGTGCTCATTAGCGACTATAGCTTCGTGAGGGAATTCCCGAAGTTCTAGTAAGAAGCTGTGACCAATGAAGCTAATTCATATCAGATAGGTATCTACCTTAATACAATGGAAGATGGTTCCGCAATTTCGTAGATTGGTTAAGGTTAGACATTAACACCGTTGGATGCCAACTCAGTGGTTTAGAGGTTAAGTGTTCGCGCGGAAGACTGAAGGCCCTGTGTCCGGGTCCCGCAGTCGGGATAATGGATACGCACTTCTGAGAAGTCCCGCAATAGGACGAAACGGCTGTCCAGTTCTTCCAGGTTTTTTATTACGGTCTAGCTTAAATTCGACTCATGAACTCAACTATTAAATTAAAATAATATTCACAAAAAAAACGTTTCTGATAATAATTAAGTACTATTGAAGATCACTGGTTAGCGTTTTTTGGCGAGTTAGTTTTCTACAGGATCAGGTCGCTACCCCCAAATCCAACCCTCCTTCTTTATTTGGGCTTGGGACCAGCAGTAGCCTCAGAGGGGCACCAAGCAGTATATGCTCCACTGGGATTAACAGGCGTAAGTAACCATTTACATATTGATTGATATAGAGGATTTTGTGGACATTGTTGAATTTTTCTAGTTTTTATCATCAAACCGACTTTCGGTAGACAACCATGGTAAACTAGAAAGCACTAAACAGATGTTTCATGATAGTTTGATACTCGTCAGCTGTGTCTTCATGATCTCATTAGGGTTCGAATGCAGCACCTTGAGGCTTCGAGGCAATCTCCTCACCTTCAGAACACTGAGTTGAAATCCAGTGGCACACACCATTAAAGTGCTGGTCAAGATGTGATGTTGAGAGGAAAAACAAGAGGTGAATCTGATAACAACAAGAGTCATCGTGTTAATGAAATGGTCACAAAATTTTTCGGCAATATAATGAGTAATTTCCAAGTACAATAGGAGTGCTTCGAACAATATTGGAAAGTAGTGAGTTGATCTAGCAACTGTGACCAGACTGTTGGTGCCAGTGAGTACTAATTAATCTCGGAAAAGGAGAGTTGAAAAGAACAATCCTTAAAAAGAAGCAAGTCATTTGACAAGGATGACTTAACCTAGCCAACCTAGAACATATAAATTGCTCATTATCTGACCACACTTTAAAAGGGCTTTCTTAATGCATGTGATAAGTATTATCAAAGTAAGTTTGTCAACGTGGTTGTCTGTCATTATACTAAACAAATTATGCAAACCAGTGAGGGGTCTCAGAGAAGCGTGTAAATCTTGATCCACGTAGTAGATGAATTAATCATGTCTTGTATTGTTCGTTAACTGTTTAAACATGGTCACACGTATTTCAAGTCGAAAGTCGTTTCAGTTTTTTATAACAGATTATCCTCCAACTAGTTGAACAACAATGTGCTCTGAAACTAAATATTGAAAAAGAAAGCTCATCAACACACTGAAATCGTTTTTACAAAAATAAGTCATTTAAAGTCGTCTCTATGTCCGTTGTAAAGTCGGCTTGACTATAAATGTTTGGGCATCCAATAATACGTCATTGAGAACAGCTTTGTTCTATTCATGTGACTATTGCCTCCACTCTTTGCCCTAGACTATTGTCATCTCTGAATGAATGCTTGTATGCGGTGGAAACACTTTGTAAGTAATGACAAAGTCCCTGAGAGGTTCTTTAGACAAAATACAGCTGATAAAATATTGTGAGTGTTTCCATCTTCAAACACAAGCTTCACTGACTTGGTCATATTTTATACATGTGATTTTAGATTTCATTATACCGAGCAGTATTTATCGACGTTCTCATAAAATAAATAGGGTGCAGAAATAGTTAGAGTTATATATGAGGCTGTGAGACGAATGCTAGCTGTACATGAGAAAACAATCTGTTGGTTCACCACAGTTCCCTGCGTAAGGTTTTAGAAACACCATTGTGCTTAGCTCAAAATAGAATCCATTAGCTATTCATCTGTAGTATTCTGTTTAAAGACTTAATGAAAAGTAAGATCCTTCTACTTACACTAGAAAAATCGATCTTGGTTTTACTTGAATTACCACCGTAGCCTTAAATACTTACCGTTCATGCTATTGTTATTGGCACACTCTTCTCCATTAGTCGCACATATACTTCATTTCATTTTGTATAATGAGTTGTAACATCCACTTAAGTGTGTTTGTATGTGTGTGTATGTTGTTCAAGTATATAAGCATTTACATTCATATCTTATTTATAAAGAAAAAATGAAACACCACTAGTCAGAACCAATAACCAAATTAGTTTGATTATAAGATTCCATTGTTTTAAGTATAGAATACTTGGACTAATTAGGTCAAATCATTATGAATACAATAATCTGTACATAGAAATTATGCAGATTACCGTTCTAAATCTATTTTTACAGATAAATGATGCTATTTACTAAGACAAAGTAGATTTAAATATATGTTTGATATTCCTTTTCATTGACCAGTTAGACAATGACTAGTAGTGGACTACATGAAGTATGTTACGATCGACTTAAGATTGATCAACTGGATACATCTACTACAATCTATTGTTGATGTTCAAGCTGAGAATGGAATATAGTAAGATTCATTTTGAACGTCCAACGTATTATTGATTGAGCTATTGAGTTCATAATACCGCTAGTTTGTAGAATAACCCCAAATGCTCTGGTACGGCCGATAGTGGGGAAAGTCCGCTCTCCCTCTCCAAATGCTCTCACATGGCCACGCATATATAGCCTCTGCCAGGGAAGTCCTACTCACTGCCTTCTCGCACCACGGGTGTTGTTTACGAAAATGAGAGGACGAAAAGCGAATGTCCGGCGCTTGAACCGGATTCCAAACCACTGGTGCACATGGGCTCCAGTATCCTGCGGGAACAAACGGCGTATGAACCAATCGTTGGTCACCGGCTACCATCGGACTGCATCTCCTTACGTTGCTCGACTGCCTTGTGGATCAGACCTTCAGATCAAAGGCTCGGGGAGTGGCCCCCTAAGAAAACCACCTGCTTCGGTTTGGGCTCCCTGGTAGTATCACAGCCCTCACACATATCGAATGAGATTTGTTTGGCGCATATCTATTTGGTGCCTCTTTTTACCAATATCTATGTGTTGAAATAAATAAAAAAAGTTTGTAGAATATGTATGGTTTTAATCAGTAAGGGATTTTTTTAAGTTGATTGCGTTCATCACATCTGTTAAACAGATTAGTGGCTATGTAGATTCAGTAGCTCATTTGATAATGCGTTTGATGAGAAAGGTAACGGGTCCGAGCACAAGTATGAATACCAGCACTAGGATATGTCAGATACATTCAATTGATAGATCCTGTATATATGTCGAAATGCACGTGCTGAATTTCACTCCTAGCCATAATCCAACCTTAATCGAAGCTTGTAACTATTTGTTAATCCGATCAGGACGTATATATGTCAAAAGAGGTTAATCAATTATAAGCCTTAACATAAATGTAGAGAAAATACGAACTCTTACAGGTCAAATTAATCAATTTCGGTGAAAATATTGTAAATATTTTGTTATTATCATTCATTAAGAATCATTACCTTATAGATATTGGTTGTATCCAAGTTCGTGGAATCAAGTACCTCCACCGATTTGAGAAACGTAATTACATTAGTTTCATACGAACGTAATTGTTCTCTACAAATAAATACATAGAACAATAATCAAACAAATTTAACACATATTCACTTGATATAATAAGAATGATTACCATATCAGAAAATATAAACCGTGTTGGATGAGTGACAGTTACCCAAGAGGAGTTGGTTGACATATAGTATAAATCAATTGAAGTTAGATGTGTGAACCAGTAGAAACCACACAGCTATTGACTGATCCTGAGAGACTTAAAGACACTAGGTTCAATGCTTGTTAATGAAGAGTCCCATACTAAGACGAAATGGATAGTCAGTGTTTCCCGCTTTTCAATGGATGTTGAAGTAAAATGAGTCTGAGATGCAAACAATGACAAATTAAATTGCTTAGTATTATTATTAATTGTTAAATCTGTTGAAGAATCTCATTACATGGTTGAGATACGCGCGATTTGTCTAAAAAGCTGTGTTTTTTTATTGAGTAATATACATTAATGATCTACATAACTCAATTCATGATGTATCTGTGGCGCTTAGTGAGTCTGTAAGTTTGAAAGAAAAAAGGTTTTCTAAAATAATAACATAATGACACAGATTGAAATCATGAGTCAGTTGAAGCTAGACCACCACTGAAAACCTGGAAGCACTGGACGGCCGTTTCGTCCTAGCATGGGACTCCTCAGCAGTGCGCATCCACGATCCCGCACCACGCGGGGCTCGAACCCAGGACCTACTGGCTTCGCGCGCGAGCACTCAACCATTAGACCACTGAGCCGGCATCCAACGGTGTTAATGTCTAACTTCAACTATTGTGACATACGATAATGCAAACGACAAGTGCTAACTGTGTCTATTCTTGATAACAATTTACCGACAAGCAAAGCGGCAACCAGAAGCAAACAAACATAGAAACATTTTGATCCCGTGAGCGGGATCGTGGATGCTCATTGCTAAGGTGTCCCACAATAGAATGAAACGACCGTTCAGTACTTCTAGGTTTTCGATGGTAGTCTAACATCAATCAGTACATCAACTCAATTAAAAACTTAATAATCTCCATAACCCTGTATTGATAAAACACCGAAACTGTTGCTTCTGAATAGAGATCATCACTTCTCATAGATATTCAACACAAAACTTACTTCAAATTTATTCCAATTCATAATTACTCAATTTTTAACATTTAACCGTTGCTAAGCAAAGATGAATAGTGGTTATCAGGGGAATGTAGATATTAAAACGGATATAATAATGAAATGACATTTGTTTATGTATTATGTTTATAAGTTATAAACTAAATTGACACATTTATTCAGTATTTACTTATATTTAAATAGATTTCATTTAACTAGTTTACATATAATACCATAATCAATCATTATTCCACATTTCGGTTGAAAAATACAGCATTCAACTCGTAATTCAATCAAGTTGTTTATTTATCAGAAAGGGGGTTTTGTGGATATTATAATAATATAGTAGTTGAATTCATTAGTCAATTAAAGTTAGACTACCATGGAATACCTGGGAGTATTGAAAAGCTGTTTCGTCCTAGTATGGGACTCTTCATCAGTGTGCATCCACGGTCCCGCCCGCGGGATATATATATATATAATGACAATGGTAAGATATTTCAGATTTTAACATTTAGTCATTGTTAATTCTATCGAAGCGTCCAAGTAACCCCGATTGAGATACGCGTAAAATCGAAGTTCCAAAACAACGATTTGTCTACAAAAGCGGTTCTTTATTAAATAATACACAAAATTTAGTTACAAACCTCAACTTGTGAGGTGTCTAGACGTCTAAACGCGTCGTTCAAGAATGAAAATAGCAAAGGCTTCCAGTAAGAGTAACATAAAGAATGATTATAACAAACGATAGTCCAAAGGCAGCCTATAGCTGTATCTAAATTTGATAACAGTTTACTGTAACGGGATTTAAATCATCATGTATGATGTTGTTAATAGATTTTGTTTTCTTTCTATTGCAGGGCAAGCAAGATTGAATGCTTTAGAAGAAGAAGAGCAAGCCCTGCACGCACTAAACTTACAGGACGACTCATAAGACCGTTTTGTAAACTAGCTCTCTTTTCTGTACAGAACCCGCGAATTTTTAATTTTAAAAATAAACGACTGGTGGTCTCCATTCCGTGTTCTCTCTGTGGTGTGAAGTGTTCAGTTAACATTGTGTGTGTTGTGGCTTTAGGTCTTTCCGCCTTCCAGTGACTTCCGATTACACGTGTTGCAACTGGTGATGGAGGTGCGACGGAAAAACGCGATGAGAATCTAGACGAACCCCCTCTGATTCCAATCAGGGCTGCTCTCGGTTCAACCCCACGCCAGCCACCACTGCTCGAAACATCATCGGATTACTCCGTTTGGAAATTTAAAGTCACAGCATACCTTCAGAGAGTTCCATTGACCGAGCATTTCAACTATCTCGTTTCTTATCTCAGCGATGAAGCAGTACGCAGGGCTATAGCGAATGGTTTTGCGGCCAGTAACACGCTCTCACAAAACTGGAGAATTCTAGACGACTGTTTTTCCATGCCCGTAGACACCCAGCAGGTGACAATTCAGTTTTTATCACGCCACCAGAAAGCGAGCGAGAGTCTAATAGACTATCTTCATTCCCTGCAGCAAGTCGCAGTACAAGCATTCCCTCGTTTAGATATGATGGGACGAGAGGAACTAATACGCTCACGTTTTGTCGAAGGCCTGTTGCCCGGACCACTTAAAGAACATTTTCTTCGAAATCCACCAACTGATACGTCTGACGTAAAAAGAACAACATTACGATTCCTGGCCGCTGACAAACTAGTGAATTTATCCAATGCACATTCATCACCAGTAACGACTGTGGGACGAGCTACAAAATCTAGTTTCCTGGACAACTGCCAGACTACAGTGGCTGTGACCGACCTTCCCGACCGAGGTGCTATCCGCGGACAGTCAAATTCGAGGTGGAATAAACAACCAGCATGGGGAAACTACAATGGGCGTCAAGCCGACTGTATATATTGCAAAAGGTTTGGCAGGAACGCCAGAAGAGGCGGTCACAACCGTCCCCGTAAACCAGGTAAGCGGCGTTTTGGTTACTTATCTTCCTATGTTAATCATGTCAATCCAACTACATTTAAAGGTAGAGTACAACACATCGAGCTAGACATACTTCTAGACACAGGAGCTTCAGTATCCCTCATTAAGGAAGACTTCTTGCAGAGACTTAACCACAGCACTCAGTGTAAACAGTGCTCCTCTACATTAATCACGGCGAGCGGAGACCCCTTGACTGCGTGTTCTAAGATCGGGTTAGAGCTAACAATAAACAAGAACTCTTTTCGACATGAATTCCTGGTTTGCCCCACACTGACCTGGAACATGATACTCGGGGTTGACTTCATGTTAAGATATCAGGTCTCTATAGACATGAATAAGTCGGAAGCTAAAATTGGCGGGGTTGTCGTGCAACTACAACGCCAGGAAATGCCAACCGAAACCGTAGCCCAGGTAGGAATTGCAGAGATTGTACGTCAGGTGCAAGATAACCAAGTAATAAGTGAAAAGGACCGTCAAGCGACCATTGACGTACTCCAACGATTTAGCTCTGTTTTCTCGGAGAATATCTCTGGAAATCGGACAACCATTGTGCAACATTCCATTGTTACAGGTGACCACATGCCATTACGCCAACCGCCTCGCAGAGTCCCGGTGCATTATCAGCCTCACTTAGAATCAATGATAAAAGACATGCTAGAAAAGAAGATTATTGTACCATCTTCGTCACCATGGGGATCGCCAATTGTCTTAGTAAAAAAGAAGGATTCCTCCCTACGACTGTGTGTAGATTATCGACGCCTTAATGCTATAACTAAGCGTGATTCTTTTCCACTTCCACGGATAGACGCTACCTTAGATGCCATGAAAGGTGCTCGCTGGTTCTCAACTCTAGACTTAGCATCAGGGTATTGGCAAGTGGAAGTCCGACCCCAAGATAGAAAAAAACTGCACTTATAGTGCCCAATGGCTTATATGAATTTCAAGTAATGCCTTTCGGGCTAACTAATGCCCCAGCCACCTTCCAACGATTAATGCAGACAGTTCTACACGGTCTCGTACCGCACCAGTGCTTAATCTACCTTGATGATATTATTGTATATGGCAGCACGCCAGAACAACATAATGCCAATTTGAAGGCAGTCCTACAACGTATTAGGCAGCATAACCTAAAAGTGAAACCATCTAAATGTCGACTATTGCAAAAAGAAGTGCTCTTTTTAGGGCACCGCATTACGGAAGATGGAGTGGCAACAGATAAAGAAAAGACACGTGTGATCGTTAATTGGCTGCAACCAAAATCACCCGAAGACGTTTGTAGCTTCCTTGGACTAGCTTCTTACTATAGACGCTTCGTACGTGATTTCGCATCCTTAGCAGCACCTTTACATTGATTAACCCACAAAGGACGAAAATTTTTATGGACCGGCGAGTGTCAACAGGCGTTCGATGCTTTGAAGGCTCGGTTAACTTCTCCGCCTATATTAGCCTTCCCAGATACTTCAGCAGACGGAGGCGAATTTATACTTGATACGGACGCTAGTTCCTCAACTATCGGAGCAGTTTTATCACAAGTAGCTCGAGATGGACACGAAAGGGTGATTGCGTATGCTAGTCGACGACTAGATAAGAGTGAAGCACGATATTCTACAACACGTCGGGAGATGTTAGCACTAGTAAAATTCTTACAACATTTTCGCCATTATCTGCTGGGCAAACCCTTTCGTGTGCGCACGGATCACCGTGCACTACAGTGGCTCCGCTCTTTCCGCGAACCAGAAGGGCAAGTGGCACGCTGGCAGGAACGACTACAAGAGTTCGATTTCACATGCGAGTATCGACCGGGAAATCGACATGCAAACGCGGATGCCCTCTCCCGAATACGCCAGACCACAGATATTCTTAACGCAATTCTTAGTACAGCTCCGGAGACAGACTGGCCCTCCCTACAAGCAACAGATCCAGACTTACAGATTGTTTATCA